AGAAATGCGTGGACATCCCGGGGCACGAGTGTGTTCCGGACTACGAAGCCCCGCAGAGAGTTCAGACTGACGAGAACTTGGTGGGGTCCAAGCCGGAGACTCGGAAAGAGTCTCGGCTGACGCTCGAGAAAGGTAACGACGAGCGGAGAGGCGACTGAGAGCGACATCTAGGAAGCATCATTTCTTCTCCGTTGCCAACATGTTCGCAACCCAGCGAGAAGCAACTCATGCAAGCAACCATAAAATATGCATTTATCGGCACACCATCACATCGAAAATTATTCCCACAGCACTTTCTTATTGTATTATTCATCAACCATTCTTTATATAAAATTTTTTCTCATTTTCTTTGTAATGCAAATGTGAAAAGGACAGCTTTAATTGTGTTTTGGGCGAAAAATTTGAACACCTCATCCTGATTCCTGCTACTATAAACTGAGTCGGCAGAATTTAAATGAAATAAATTTAAATTTAAATGTTGAATAATGAATCGCCGTTTCTAAATTTAAAATACTGTAATACGATTGATGAACGCTTTTTTCTTCATTGCGATGAAGGTGTACCGGTAAATTTTAACCGAGTAGTGTGTATTTTCTGTACTAGATCTTGAAGAATCTCTAACATTATGTAAATTTTGTTTGGAGATTCTGCCTGAATCAAGGCTGAACGTGCTAAAAAAATGACCTGCATATTTTATCACTTACTAACACTGTATTTTCATGTCATTAGTACAGTTAAACCTTGCTAAGTCAAAGCTCCCAAAGTCAAATACCTCCCTAAGTTAAAAAAAAGTTTAAAGTCCACATCAGAATTCCCTTAGAAACAATGCCTTGAAATGCTTTAAAAGGATGTAACAGACAAAATTGGGCAAATGAACCCCTGTCTCCAAGTTGAGGGCCCTGTGAACTCATTTTAGATGCAATTTAAGGTTCGGAATATTTAAATGTACAATTTAGTGCAATTTGTCAAGATTTTCCGCGATAAAAATGTTTGATTCTATGAGTCAAACATCTATGATTCTGCATAACTCAAAACCTCGTTAAGTCAAAACCTCCCTAAGTCAAATTTTTCTGCTGGTCCCTTGAAATTTGACTGTAAAAAATGGTCCCAAACAACATTTGTATTTTGGAGGGAGGAACATAGGTAAGCCATAAATGCAAACTTTTCAGCATGGTACTTTCAATTTTTAACTGCTCTTTTTTATGGCAAAAATTCTCTGTTGTCCTGCTTTCACTTTAATTGCTCAATGAAATGAGAATTGAATATCTGAGCAGGAAGTATTTCTTGCGAGAATTTTTTCTTGAATATTTTCTATATGAACAATTTTTTATTTAATTTTGTCCATACAATTATTCTATGTGTTTGTGCAACATGAATGCAAATTTACGTATTCCAATAATTTATTTATCAGCACGGGTTCTCCGTCTGCTGTGATGTAACAATAACATGCAAACAGCAGATGCAAAATCACCACTAATAAACTCACAAGTTCTACTTCATTTGAATGTCTGATCGTAAGAGATTCATTGCTCAAATTCATTCCTCAGTCCTTGTCTGGAAATCGGCACATTGAAGCCAATAATCTGTTGTAGCTCCATCCGCAATCTAGTTGAAAATGGCTGTGCAAAAGGAAACATAGAAGGAAACACTTGAACAAGTATTTGTCAAGTGCTTTTATACTGCCAAAATTTACCTTTGACAAATCTCCTCGCCAAATACACGTCCACACCAGTTCCACTAGTGCCACGAACATTGCCAAGAAAGCCACGATGATAACTGGTACGAATATTCCTCCTGAAATATTGAAGATGACATTTAGTCAAAAATTTCCTTTCGAAAATGTTTCTTGATAGACACGTTGGAATTTTCATCAGGCAAGCAAATGCATCATGAGGTTACGTCAGCTGAAATAAATGATGTTGCCTTTCAGTATACATTGTATGCTTTACGGTTGAGAGGTGCTTCACGCGACACCTATACTTAACAAAACCAAAACGAAGTGTAGGCTTTGGAATGAGAACTCATAGAGAAATGTGATTTCAGGTGTTATTTGTATTGTATTACACTGATAACCTTGGAAGTGGACACCCCACATGTCAAATACCTCATTTCAAAATTCCATTGAATCCCTGTCTGTATTTCAACAATATAATACTGACAGTCCCCTTCAAATTATCTATAACTTGTATTTCTTGAGGCCTCTATTCTGGGGACACAGGAATAAAAAATGAATGAAAATATAACTTGATGCTTCTCAAAAGCAAGTGGTTGACTAATTGAACAAATTTACCCTTGCCACATAGTTCAACATCCTGTCAACTCCTTAATCCAAAAATTAAGGCCAAGAATATCATCAATTTTAACATCCAGTAATTCTTCATAATTTTCCAGTAAAATTTTAGCTTCCCTAACATGAAAACTTTACACCATATTTATTTAAGTACCACATGCCCTCAATAAGTAAGTACAGGTGGTACCTCACAATTCAACCCTCAGTGGTTGCCAAACTAAGGTTGAATTGTCAAGTGGTCAAATTGCAAGACACTTTGTGAAAATCAAAAATATCCATACAAAAATACAAAAAAAGTGGCCAAAGTTGGTCAAATTGCAGGGCAAGGGTCAAATTGCAAGTCAACCTCCCTGGAAATGTAACTGTCAAATTGCTTGATGGTTGAATTGCAGGGGATCAAATTGGGAGGTACCACCTGTATTGTGCAAGGGTTTTTCAGTCAAGTTTTTCAAATAATAACATCAGTCCTGATTGAGATGCTTAAGATGCACGCCCAGTTTTTAGTGACTATATATTTTAAGAATAAGAACAACCAACCTTGAATTTCCAAATGATTTTATCTGAGTGCAACTAATTTTCAACCATTTCCATACTGCAATACGTTTTTTCTGTTTTCTTAAATTGGTCCAAAATTTCCCATTAGAATAGGAAAAAATGCACATCTACTTCTAAAACTATTTACAAATTTATGAATGCCTATGATGAGCACTCCCATTCTACTGCTCAATTTTAAGAAAAATAAGTTGCATGTGGTACTATACTCGAGTAGATACAGTAAGTCAATTGTTCTCTTGAATCCCTCTGAGTTTGATTTGAATAATAGTATAAGTTTGCCGGTTGTATAAACAGGAATCACTGCTTCGTGGTTTTTCATCCACATTTTTAGGTAATTATGATAAACTCACTGAGGTGTCCAGCATCAATGGCATCAACCCGTCTGTCCTCGTCCGACTTCCGGTCACAGTTTTCAGAAGTTGTATCATGCCACCACTTGGTGTACAGTGCTTGAACGGCGCCTTGTTCTTGCAGTCGCAGGATCGCAGCACTGATGGCATGCGTGTACAAGGACTTCTTTTGCAGAGCAAATCCGTAGCTTCTCTGCCCCAATTCCGGTCCAATTTTGACCAAATCGCATTCGCGATGAATGAGATAATCCACTGACAGGGTTTCCGCGAAAAAAGCGTAGCGCCCGTTGCCATCTCGAACTCGTTGGATCCCGTCCGCCAAGGAAGTTGCGAGCCAGTCCGGATGCTTCTGCATTTTTTCCCACATCAGCTTGATTTCTGGGACCGTACTCGACTTCCGGGTGGGAAAAAAATTTGAAAATAAAATTCAGGATGGTTCCTGAAGCCGCGAAGTATCCCTGTACGTATTTTCTCAAGAAACATATCCGCAACATTTTTCTGCAACATCACATCAAAAAACGGGATACGCGATTATTTACATTTTCTAGTGCCAACAATTAGGAAATTTGTGATGGGAGCCATAAGTGAATACTTTATAGGTGAACATAATTAACGTACAGGTATTCTGTTTGGCTCAAATTCAGTTAAAGTGTTGCGTGGTGGAATAATTAGATCACCAATTATGTAATGTGTGTCAAATTATCTAGAGTGCTCTGGATTAATTGAATTGGGCTGTTGTTAGATGACAATCCATGTTAATTGAATATTTGAACCTTTAATTTATCCCTTTCAGCCTATGAGGTGCAGAAGCACAGATTCCTGGAATAACGGAGAGAGTGAAAACCATAGAAGGTCACTCTTCCAACATTTTTGATATTCATTATTCTTGAGTCAGTGTGCTGCCACTTATCATTTGAATTGTCTCTGATATATCTTGTGTGTGTGTTCTGTTTATTTTTTTTGGGAAAAAGTGCAATAAATTTATCTGTTCAGGAAATTCCTAAAAAAAATCCACAGCTGAACCCCACAGCTGAATGATGCGTTTAACGTCCGCAGTGGGAGGAATGACCAGTAGGATCCTACAGGGGTCTGGGGGGGAATAATAAGGACATCGTGTAATGTGTGTCTGTGGCCTTTTGCACCTTGAATTAATTTGCCTACTTGAAAATGCATCAATTAACATTAAGTTGTCAGGATGGCTGAGCGGTCTAAGGCGCTGTGTTCAGGTCACAGTCTGGTTCTGCAGGCGTGGGTTTGAATCCCACTTCTGCAATCGTTTTTTCATTTTTTTGTCCTCACTGCGGATGCTCTACTACTTGATTTTTAGGATCAATCCATTTCTTGCCTCCTTTTCTAATCCTCAATTACAAAATATGGTAGCATAGGCATGAGGATGTGATCTGAAAATAAAATTAATTTCTCAAACATCCTCAATTACATGTTGCATCTTCTTATAAGTATTTATGGAATTATTTTGTTCAATGCTATAATTGAAAAATTCTCTTCCCAAAACATGTAAAACTGGGGTAAACTTCTTATGCAGAGATACATTTTGTGCAAATTTCATAAAAAAAAAAAAGCTGAGGTGCGCTACATATACTCAAGGGCACGTGGTACTCTTGTAAATATGCTATTCACTTGCCTTATTTAAATATTTTCTGAAGTCATTTAAAAAAAACGTTAAGTATTATACAGTTCCTGATTTTATTCTATGAGCATTCAGAAACTCGAATCAGCACAGCCATTCTGGTTCTAAGTCAATCGTCTTCATTTTCAATCTTTTCAAAGTCTCAGGGTGAGTTTCGGCTAGCTGACCCATTGGAAACATACACGAGGATGTAAAAATATTTTCAAAATGGCGCTGGCAGATGAATAANAGTAATTCTTCATAATTTTCCAGTAAAATTTTAGCTTCCCTAACATGAAAACTTTACACCATATTTATTTAAGTACCACATGCCCTCAATAAGTAAGTACAGGTGGTACCTCACAATTCAACCCTCAGTGGTTGCCAAACTAAGGTTGAATTGTCAAGTGGTCAAATTGCAAGACACTTTGTGAAAATCAAAAATATCCATACAAAAATACAAAAAAAGTGGCCAAAGTTGGTCAAATTGCAGGGCAAGGGTCAAATTGCAAGTCAACCTCCCTGGAAATGTAACTGTCAAATTGCTTGATGGTTGAATTGCAGGGGATCAAATTGGGAGGTACCACCTGTATTGTGCAAGGGTTTTTCAGTCAAGTTTTTCAAATAATAACATCAGTCCTGATTGAGATGCTTAAGATGCACGCCCAGTTTTTAGTGACTATATATTTTAAGAATAAGAACAACCAACCTTGAATTTCCAAATGATTTTATCTGAGTGCAACTAATTTTCAACCATTTCCATACTGCAATACGTTTTTTCTGTTTTCTTAAATTGGTCCAAAATTTCCCATTAGAATAGGAAAAAATGCACATCTACTTCTAAAACTATTTACAAATTTATGAATGCCTATGATGAGCACTCCCATTCTACTGCTCAATTTTAAGAAAAATAAGTTGCATGTGGTACTATACTCGAGTAGATACAGTAAGTCAATTGTTCTCTTGAATCCCTCTGAGTTTGATTTGAATAATAGTATAAGTTTGCCGGTTGTATAAACAGGAATCACTGCTTCGTGGTTTTTCATCCACATTTTTAGGTAATTATGATAAACTCACTGAGGTGTCCAGCATCAATGGCATCAACCCGTCTGTCCTCGTCCGACTTCCGGTCACAGTTTTCAGAAGTTGTATCATGCCACCACTTGGTGTACAGTGCTTGAACGGCGCCTTGTTCTTGCAGTCGCAGGATCGCAGCACTGATGGCATGCGTGTACAAGGACTTCTTTTGCAGAGCAAATCCGTAGCTTCTCTGCCCCAATTCCGGTCCAATTTTGACCAAATCGCATTCGCGATGAATGAGATAATCCACTGACAGGGTTTCCGCGAAAAAAGCGTAGCGCCCGTTGCCATCTCGAACTCGTTGGATCCCGTCCGCCAAGGAAGTTGCGAGCCAGTCCGGATGCTTCTGCATTTTTTCCCACATCAGCTTGATTTCTGGGACCGTACTCGACTTCCGGGTGGGAAAAAAATTTGAAAATAAAATTCAGGATGGTTCCTGAAGCCGCGAAGTATCCCTGTACGTATTTTCTCAAGAAACATATCCGCAACATTTTTCTGCAACATCACATCAAAAAACGGGATACGCGATTATTTACATTTTCTAGTGCCAACAATTAGGAAATTTGTGATGGGAGCCATAAGTGAATACTTTATAGGTGAACATAATTAACGTACAGGTATTCTGTTTGGCTCAAATTCAGTTAAAGTGTTGCGTGGTGGAATAATTAGATCACCAATTATGTAATGTGTGTCAAATTATCTAGAGTGCTCTGGATTAATTGAATTGGGCTGTTGTTAGATGACAATCCATGTTAATTGAATATTTGAACCTTTAATTTATCCCTTTCAGCCTATGAGGTGCAGAAGCACAGATTCCTGGAATAACGGAGAGAGTGAAAACCATAGAAGGTCACTCTTCCAACATTTTTGATATTCATTATTCTTGAGTCAGTGTGCTGCCACTTATCATTTGAATTGTCTCTGATATATCTTGTGTGTGTGTTCTGTTTATTTTTTTTGGGAAAAAGTGCAATAAATTTATCTGTTCAGGAAATTCCTAAAAAAAATCCACAGCTGAACCCCACAGCTGAATGATGCGTTTAACGTCCGCAGTGGGAGGAATGACCAGTAGGATCCTACAGGGGTCTGGGGGGGAATAATAAGGACATCGTGTAATGTGTGTCTGTGGCCTTTTGCACCTTGAATTAATTTGCCTACTTGAAAATGCATCAATTAACATTAAGTTGTCAGGATGGCTGAGCGGTCTAAGGCGCTGTGTTCAGGTCACAGTCTGGTTCTGCAGGCGTGGGTTTGAATCCCACTTCTGCAATCGTTTTATCATTTTTTTCATTTTTTTGTCCTCACTGCGGACGCTCTACTACTTGATTTTTAGGATCAATCCATTTCTTGCCTACTTTTGTAATCCTCAATTACAAAATATGGTAGCATAGGCATGAGGATGTGATCTGAAAATAAAATTAATTTCTCAAACATCCTCAAGTACATGTTGCATCTTCTTATAAGTATTTATGGAATTATTTTGTTCAATGCTATAATTGAAAAATTCTCTTCCCAAAACATGTAAAACTGGGGTAAACTGCTTATGCAGAGATACATTTTGTGCAAATTTCATTTAAAAAAAGCTGAGGTGCGCTACATATACTCAAGGGCACGTGGTACTCTTGTAAATATGCTATTCACTTGCCTTATTAAAATATTTTCTGAAGTCATTTAAAAAAAACGTTAAGTATTATACAGTTCCTGATTTTATTCTATGAGCATTCAGAAACTCGAATCATCACAGCCATTCTAGTTCTAAGTCAATCGTCTTCATTTTCAATCTTTTCAAAGTCTCAGGGTGAGTTTCGGCTAGCTGACCCATTGGAAACATACACGAGGATGTAAAAATATTTTCAAAATGGCGCTGGCAGATGAATAAACGCAATGCAATTATTTAACCCAAAAAATGAAGAAAGAACTTCGTTAGATTTATTCTTCAACATGGCTTTTATACAAAAATTAAAAAATAAAATGATGCGTTGATCAGACCGAGATGTATTTCACACCCAAAAGTTTTAGTTTTCATCGAATGCTTAGCATACAGTACTTGAATATCACGAGTCGTTGAGACGCAATCCCGAGTTTCTGACGTGAGTGAGCAAAAAATTGCTGGCAAATTTTTCGAATGAAATTAAGTGACTTACCTTGAAGAAGGACTCAGTGCTTCCCCCTCGTACTAAACCGACCTGCACGTAATCTTGGTTAATCATGTCTTTCCAGGTTTTAATGCGTGTGGCGTAGTGAAGAGTGGTGTATTTTTCAGCGACCATGCTCACATAGATTGCAACCAGGACAATGGAAAAGATCCACCAGAAGAATGTCAGCAACCTTACGGAAATTGCCTGTTGACCCATTTGGTACCAGTGAGACAAAATAAAATCTGTATGAACCATGCTAATGCATAATAAACCCTCTTGAAATGATGAGCCTTTGTATCACAGCAAGGAAAACACGAATTGTCCAAAAACTCCTGTTGGTTCATCATTGGAAGGAATTTGGCAGAGGCTGAATACCATTTCAAACTTTAGTCAGCTGATTTATTCAAGGTGCTAACAAAAATTCTAGACATGCTTCTATTGGGATTCTATTTCTTGATTAACCCTTGGGCGGCAAAGTTGGACTATTTTTGCAAAATTTTGTTGCACCTCAGAGAGGTCAAGAAAAAAATGTGAACAGGTGGTGAAGGGTAAAGTTGGGAAAAATCCTGACGTTTTTTTCCCTGGGGGCAGAAAATTTTTTTGGGAAAATTAAAAAAATGCTCAGGGAGGCTACCGGCTTTTCTTGGATTAATCCCAACTTTGCCTCAGCCCACATGGAAGGGTTTTCCTGACCTTCTAAAAACTTAAAATGAGGGAGCATACGAAAATAATCCAATTTTGTCCTGCTATGGGAAAGAACCCTCTGCCGTGCAAGGGTTATATGTCCATTTCAGTGCTTTCATCATTTTCATCCATCTATGGTGAGTTGAAAAAAGGGGATTCATGTCCCAAAAGAAAAAAGAAGGTTCATCATATTAAGAAGCTTTTTTCTATTTTTCCCTGGTTATGCCAATCATTTTCCTGAGGATACAGACAATTTGAGACTGGAAAAATTTAGACAGAAAATTAGAGACAGGGCCCATTCAAGACAGGGACAAATTGAGACAAAAACTATCTTTATGAGGAGAGGAATCTGCTTAGGTTGGATAAAAGATAGAGATTTTCCTTGATGAGGAGAACTCACTTGACAGGGACTATGGACAAAATGGAGAAACACCCTGGGATCATGGACATTCTACAAAACAGTTCAATTTTTGTTCATTTTCACACCTTAAATATAAAATAAAAAGGAGAAACCCAGGAAAGTTATTTTGTCTCAAAATGTATCAGTCTCAAAATTTCTTGAATTCTCAAAATGTATTTGTCTCAATTTGTCCATGTCTTGAAAAGTGTCAGTCTAAAATTGTCCCTGTCACCAAAAGTATCTGTTTCCATTTGGCCCTGTCTTAAATTGGCCTTGTCTCAAATAGGCCCAGTCTTGAATTGTCTCTCTCAATTTGTCCTAGATACATTTTCCTCACATTTACTCCTCAATTTGCATGCAAAATCACATCCCATTTTACAAAGGCCTAAAACCAGAAACCAGGCTTTTTAAATGAGACACCACATTACCTGATTATATAAACCAGTGCTCCTCAACCTTTTTGGGCCAGCAGACCAGCAAATTTTCATGAAATTTCCAGTAGACTGGCAACTTTTCATGAAATTTCCAGTAGACTAGAAACTTTTCATGAAATTTCCAGCAGACTGGCAAATTTTCATGAACTTTTGCAGGCCGACAGAAAATTTAAATACAGTACATGCCATGAAGTCCTCTGAACAAAAATTTTATTCCAAAAATGTATTCCAGTAGCTACAGTGGAATGGCTTCAGAAAAACTTATTAAGCTGGTCTTCAAGAAAGGTTTCTCAGAATGAAAACGTGTATGATTTATTCTAGCCTGTAAATACATTTTTCTGAAGCGTTATTAGGGAAAAAGACGATCTTTATTTTTCGTCAGAAAATTTCAACTACAGTATAATTTTCTTTCCAAAATTTCTGGTAATATAATAACAGACTTTATATGCTTCTATTTTTTATAAAATTAATACATGGACGAAAATTCCCCGTGGCCCGCCAATAAAAACTCGACCACGTGTTGCAGACCACTGACGAATATTTGCTCAGTCATTATTCTCACTAAGCATCAAGTTTGTGAGATGACGGTTTTAAGAAGCTCAACAGTCATGCGGGTGTTTATTATTTGAACGAACCTTCGGATTTGCTTCGTTGCCGCGAAGCACAAAGGCGCCAATGGTGTACCAGAGACTGTTGCGAATGCTGTACACATGCTCATCCACGTCGTCGTCGTCGTAGCGCCTGCGTTCAGTCGGTGCACATCTCGCAATCAACCAAAACATGACCGAGACGAATAAGTATATGCCGACGAGAGACATCCATGCCCCCGGGGTAAGGACTGTGACAAAAGCTGGCCCGCCCCCTGTCTCCAACGCTGGTCGCTGTCAGAAAAGAAATACAGTAATATTTCGCAGGCGAACTCTCCCCACAAAAAAATTATTGGAACCAGAGCAAATTCATTGGAGAGAGAATTTTGTTGTAGAGAAATCATCTACCCTCAGAATTAGTGCCAACCTGGCATATATAGGGCCACAAATATCCCTGGCAAACATCTCCCTCCATTGTGATCTTGAAGGAAACCCAGATTTTGTTGTAAGAAAATAACTAACTTGGGGTTTGACTGTTAAGGATCTCTCTCTCTCTCTCTGTCTCTCTCTCACTCTCTCTCTGCAACAAAATTCAATGCACCGGGGGAATATTCATGGCAGAGATAATTTTGTTGTAGAGAAATCCTCTCAACAACAATTTTTTGGGTCTCTGACTTTTGTTGTGTAGAGTGAGTCATCTGGTACTGTACAATCAAACTCAAATTTAGTGCCAACATCCATCCCAGGATTTTTTGGCGCTATAAGTAAGGGTGTCACTAAAGTGAGGACACATTGAAAAATTCATGGTTTTGTAGAATACTGTATATGGTAAGGAAGAAAAAAAATGCTCAAGGCATTATTGTGCCCTCCTGCTTATATGATTTACATGGAAATACTCCTCAAAATCTACTTGAAATTTTGCTCGCTGATTACCGCTTTGACGTAATTTAGTTAAATTTATTCATGGTCGCAGAAATAGCTGCTTAATTTTAATTCATGCCACCTTTCATGTGAAATCTACAGTAGAATCCCTAACGATATCCTTTCAATATTATCCTTATAGATCATGTGCTATCACACAGAAACCACCCATTTTTACAGATAGGCTCCCACTTCATTTATAGAAGATTCAAGAAACGAAGGTCTCATGTAAAAAAATATGCAGTGAAAAATATTTTTAATGATCTTCATTCAGAAATTGAATAAATAAACTTATCTGGAGTTTATATGTGAGCATGGACACAAGCCCCTCAGTATAATAGCCCAATGATATTTCCGAAAAGAAGGTTTCACTTTCCTTGATTTTAGGCGTAATTTTCATCCTGAATGAGGCATTCTCTGTGGCATTAATTGAGTTGGCACTAAATGGTGGGTTCCCTAAAAATATCTCACTTGAGAGCAATTTTTTCCAAGGAAATTTGTGGCACTAAGGGAGGGTGGCCCTAAATCGAGGGTTGACTGTATATATTAGAAGAAAGGTAACCCAAAACCGACCTTGTGTAGAAGGGAAAGTCCTGTAAACATGAACGGCTTCGTTAAATCCAGTGCCATGTGTCGACCTGAAGTCACAGTAAGAGACCCAGCTGCCATTTGCGCTTTCTGTGTAGCAAATAAAGTCGAGGGGATAATTATATCCACACGAAGTTCGGATTATGAGTGCCTTTCAATTGCCTACTCACACCCTTGCCGACTTCTCCAAACATGCCAAACCATTCCAATGTGTCCTTATTTTGACCCCCCCAACGTCCGTCGGGAGTCAAGTACAAGGAGTAATTAAACTTGGCTATATCCATGATCTCGTCCAAGAAATCCTTGATGAACCCGACGAATTGGTCGTTTCCCGTGGCTTCTGGGTTTTCTGTGTTCTTCATTATGAAAGGCTCTTCCTGAGGTTGACCATAAAAGTGATGGCAGTAAAGATTTTACAAATTTGACCAGAAAAATGAAAATCTCTTTTTTTTCAAGTTATTCCCTCCTGGACGGTTAGAGGAGAATTTCAAAACAATTTGTCCCACTGAAAAATAAATATTGGCAAATTTATTCCAATGAAGGAAATCCTGATAGGCTTGTTTTAGTTTTGAATGTTTATGAATGTTTTTCCAGCAATCCACAAGGGGAAAAAATGCTTCTGTCCCTCAATTTACAATATCAAGATTTTCAAAATTTTCATTTAAAAAGTTCATGCCCATGGCTTGCTGATGAGATGGGCAAGGAAAATACCGAAATATTTATTTCGGTTATTGATTAAAAAAAAAGTTATAATTTCCCAGTTTCGTGCGCCCTCGGTGGAAAATGTGGAAACTTTTTTTCCTTTCCCCTTTGCATATTTGAAAAGTGAATCAATGAATTAAATTTACCAATGGGCGGTGAACTCTCAGTGAAAGCAATAAAAGTATTTTTGGTTCAGCTGTATTTTCAAGGAATATGAGGCATTGGTCTCCAGTGAAATGTAAATTTGGAAATTTCAGCGATTCTAGTGGACGACGGGTGGTTCTTTCGGTAGACATAATCAAATTTTTTCGGCGAACAATTTGGTTGTAAATACATCTTTTTTCAGGTGTTTATCTCATAGATTTTTTCGTAGACGTGTTGCTTGGAGAATACGTAAATGTGATTTCGAGTAGAAAGAAGTTCAGCTGACGAGGGTTAAACATCAGATGGAATCGAGCAAAGGCTGATATTTATTTGTATTTGCATTTTCATAAATTGTTGAATGTATCCAAAAAATCCATCCAGCGCATTTTAAGCCTGATTCTCTCAAAATTTGAAGATTCTGATCTGATTGAGCCTATTTTTTCATCATGGAAAATGGAAAGAATCCCTTCGCTTGACGTGGAAGTATCATATTACAGTATATCGTTCCAGAGGGAAAAAAAGTACTTAACCCATGTTCCAAAAATTGATCGAAATTTATTTTTTCCGGCATATCAGAGAAAATCGGTGCCTTTGGTTCGAAAACGAAATTCAGTCAAAATCTGGCGAATTATTGCTCCGTTTCGATCTAAAAAGTTCAGATGCTTACCAGCAGTGTTGCCACTTTTAGAACGGGTCTGTCGGGAGAATTTTGACCTTCCGTCGTTCCTGGAATACCTTTTCAGAGCATATAGAAGCATTAAAATTATAAAAGAAGTTCGGGCATTGACTAAAATCAAAAGATAAATGTTGTTGCACTTGAGCACTCACCCAGAAAAGCCGCGGCTGCGAACAACAGGAAATAACCCGGACGCATGTTTTTCTATAAAAAAAATCCACGAATTTCCGTTACGCAAACTTCCGTGTTTTCCAAAAAAGAGAGACAGAGTTATGTATACTGTACTTAGTTTTTAATTACTCTCAAGTACTCGGGCCGACGATAAAAATTTGTTTCAGGCATAATCAACCGAAATACAGTATAAAATTAATCTGAATAATTCCGCTCGCTTTAAAAATTGAAAATTTATTAGGAGAAACGGAATGTACTGCATTTGGAAGATATGAGTGTGTATATTCTTGAGCTTTTCTTCGACCAGGTCAAATTTTAGAACAGAAAATCCCAACGGCACTTCGTGAATCCATCATGGCGCCCTAATTGACATTCTCAGGGGTTCCTCGGGGGGAAATGTTGTCCCGTGGTACCAATTAAATTCGTATTTTTGTAATGATACGAGTACATTTACGAGTAAATATACGGTGTATATATATGCGCCCGTTTCGCTGCTTTGATTTATTACTTTCGCTTCGACGGAAATATATTCCCGCATGAATTTGCATAGTCTCATGTAACTTACGTCTCAGGCAAGAAACTGATTATCGAAACCGAACGCGTTCTTTGTTCTTTGTTCTTTGAGCCACTTCTTTACTATATGCGCAAAGAAATCTGGCAATAAGCCAAGATGAATAATTTGAAATTATCAGGATGCAGTAGACCCGAACATATAAATCAAATACTGATGGACTTTCTCTGAAACGAAATTCAAGGGACCAGAAAAAAATCGTTACAAAGAGAACTTTGTAGAGAATTTTCCAACGAAATTCAACGGGCCAAAAATTCGTTGAAGAGAGACGTTCGTTGCAGAGAAACTCGAAAAAAATGGGTAGAGAACCCTATGGAACGAACAAAGAAAAAATTTTTATGCAGAGAAAATCATTGTATATAGATAAGATTTTTGTACAGTGAGTCCACCTGTAATACGCATAACTCAGGAGAAGAAAATATTTTTAATTTGCCTGAGATTGGCACAGCCACATAAATTATTTCTTAAAACACAAAGAAAGTCGCTTCTTATTTAAAAATAAATAAAACATTGTGAACTCGCAATAGGGTGTTACTCAGAAGAAAAATACCACATTCATCCGACCCACTTGACACGAAAAATACACCATGTTCCACAAGATGAGAACGGGTTGAATTGCTAAGCAATTTTGCCAATATTCCGATCACTTCGCCGAGTCTCTTTTCCGAGAATATATATTTAAAAAACGGGTCAACTATCACATATGCCACAACTTCTGCATGTGTATATAATATCTTGCATCGCACTAATGATACTGATCTCATCCGAGATTGTTTGCCATATGCGAACGCGTCTTCTTGCATTTTCTCGATTAGAGAGACTTGTCAAGACGGAGCAGAGCAGCAGACGCACACGAGTCGTAAACGATTCTCACTATACTGTATATAGCTGCATTATATGAAGCCTTCGCCTGACGAAACGCATGTCTTGAACTCTTGATCCTATCTCGTCGGGGGTGATGGTACAAATCATCGAAGCCCATAAAATCTTTCATCGGTTGAATCTTGCCAGACATTATCTTCACTTGACATCTTTCGCTCTAAAAAAAATCTTAATCCTCGAAATTAATTTTTGGAGCGTAAATTATCAGGTTTCGCTTTAATCCTCGACATAATGTGAAGTTCGGTACTGTATATTCACTTCGAGAAAGAGAAAAGTAAATTTCTAGGCGATCCACTGTTTTTTGTTGCGCTCAAAAAAAAAAAGAGTCAGTCGAAGAACTCATGCTTCAGTTACAAGCCTGAAATCCTCAAATTTAAAAAAAAAAAAACCATGATTATAAGATTTACATACGTCAATGGTAAAATGTTCAGGTTTAAATATTTTTTTCATTTAATTAAAAAAGCGTTGCGATCAATGTGTTGATCGCAAGAAATTATATACATCAGTACCTCAAACAGAAATAAAATTTACGCATTTTTGAAATTTTTTGCAGTATTATATTTTCTTGGAGCCTGCATGATTTTATGAATAAGGACTTATCTGCAGTCCCGGAAGACTTTGCATTTGCTGATGATAATTGTATACTGTGTTGAGAGCTTTGTATGAATACACAACCCAAGTACTGAATGAAATTTTTTGTATTATATTAAACTTGTGACACCCAATTGTTTCATAAGTAGCGGTATGGAATAATGATTTTGCTCACCTCTGATCTATAACCATTAAATTATCACAACCAGTACTGCAAACACTGTTGCTGCTTAATGCTGTGTTCCCCAAGGACCCCAACCCATGGTCTGCCAACCAGCACACATCCACAAAAGTTTCTTGCTGGTCTGTGATGGGGAATTTTCAACAAGATAAATTAATCAAAAGTTGGGATGAACTCTATTTTCTCTTTACCTAAAATTTGGGAAGGGCAATGGCAGTTGAAATATCTGATGAGAACAAAAATTGGGTTTTCTCCTAATAACACTTCAGATAAATTTTCCCCTGCTGAAATAAATGATTTTTATTTTTCAATCTGAGAAACCTTTCTTTGAGCCCACCTTTCTAATTGTTTGATGACATCCTTTACTACATGTTTCTTGTAACTACCTGCCTAATAAGATCCAAGCAGAACTTTGACAAGTCTGTAAAAATTTTGTGAATCTTTTCTGGTCTGCATAAATTGTTTTGGGAATTTACCAGTCAGCAAATGTTTTGGAGAAATTTGCTAGTCCTTGGGCCCAAGAAGGTCAAGGAACACTGGTCTAGTGCGTTATCCATTAAAATTAGATGCAGCTCATTAAAATAATTACAGGCGACACCTATACAATTCAAATGCAAATCACAGAATCAGGAAACTCATTCTTGTTGTGAGAACAATCTATGTTTTTATGAAAGATTAGCCTCGGTTTGCTCATAGTCATCACACTCTTGCTTTCAGACTTGAAAACAAGTACAGTATGTGACAGTAATAGGAAACTTTTTTCTATTCATCAAATCATGCTGAATTCATGTTAA